ACAGATGTAATGGACAACACGCTTATACCTCACTCAAAATAATCTGGCCTTTACTGACGTCAATATGGGCCACGTGCCTCACGTCCACTTACTTGCAGATAAATTTTGACGACTGACAGACTCTTCAATCGAAAGTAAAGAGGCCTGTATTCAATAAATCTTACCACAGGATTGTACAGCGAATCAAAGTAATGCAAATATTTGCTTCTAACCTTTTTGAGCTTCATCTCGATTCTATCACAAGCTGTGACGATTTGCTTACCATACATTGCGTGTGTTAATCATTGTTTGACGCTTTGTTGATTTAAAATGGTGGTCTTTAGTGGCCAATTATCATAAGTCAATGCATAGCACGTTCAAAGGACTATCCAATAGTTACAACCTTCTGCAATAGCGTAGGCATTGGTATTTATTGTGCCAATATCCCAAAATGGGCTCACCCGGTTTCAAAGAGCGGAAATTAGTTCTGTCTATTCACTTTAAAATAATGAATGATACGTGTTCATTTGATGGACCACAAAGTGCTACCAGGTGAAGACGATCTTAAATACAATTATCGATACATACATTGAACTTTACGTATGCGTCGAACGTTACACGAATCAGCTCCCAGATACACCAGGAACAATTATCTGGGTAGACAAATAAACCACTATTCAGCATTATGCCCTACTGTATATGGTACTGCTACTATTAAGCTATCATGAAAAAATCTGTACAAATGCGGCTTTGCATGCTGTTTACTTTTGTTCCACTTGCAAATTGCGCGTCTCTGTAAGTGTAAGTCAGATGGCTGTTGTTGTCGTCGTCAATACAAGACGGTGCACAAAGTGACATATACTACAATCCACCTTAAATTGCAAGTAGTTTGCAATTTTATTTTTTGGCACACTGTGAAATGATGACCATTACAATAACAATCCCGTTTGTATTCAAATTAGAAGCAGATCATATTGCGGGTCAGCTTGCACAGTAGTGTGGACTGATTGTGCGCACATACATTTCTTCCCTCGGTAAAGCCATACTCATTCATGGTAGAAGTGATAGAGACATTATGAAATACCGTTCATGGAATCGTGCAAGTATCCCATTCTTCCCATACTCATTATGTTTTGATCATTGAGACTGTGATGGGACATCGACTGGACATGTCTATTGAAGTCAACGTTTACCGACGATAGGTAAAGTAGACGGGCGCTTGGGAGAAAGTTTCATATTTCTGCACTGATGCTGATTGGACTACAAGTCAATCTCCCGAACGACTTCCCGTGCTTTGTGGTAAGCAGTCGATCCTTATTAGCGCGTTATTTTACGACTCTACATAAATCCGATTTTTGTGCAGACTCATAATCTCCCTATGAAACGACGGGGTCTCCGTTTACAGGTGACAACATTCGTTGCGTCTATCTTGTGGATACCCTTGCAACGGATTGTATCCATAGCATTTTCAACGAGCTGAACATAAGACTGTTTCGACTTTCTCAAGCAATGTCGTGGAAGCCCGTGTCTTAATGTTTGCAAATCTCACGTGAAAGAATAGGCAAAAGTGTACTACCACATCGTCGTACAGATATCATACGTGCCCTTTTTCTTTGTAGTTTATCTTCTCGACAATATTGTAGTGACACGTATCGGAGTGTGCGACCCCTCTGTCGTTTGATCATGTCATCAAGTGATGGCCAAAAAGATTGAGCAAATTTGTCTACAAAATGGTAGAGCTGGGCCATGTGTTGAGTACCATTGAACACGATTAGCATCTAGCAAGCTATTTAGCGAAAAACAATGGCGTACGGTTTTCTGACGTACAAACTAAAAAAATGTATGTATAAGATGTCATTGTAGTGGCTGATATGAATTTAACAATCATGGACCGTATTGTACCGCTCTGTACCAAATTTGATCGTCTGTATGTCGGTGGGTGCGTGCAAGAAAAAATAGCGTCAAAGTTGCTCTTTTATGCATTTCTTCGATCACAGCATTCGGTTGTCTGGGCTTAGTTCCTGAATACAGATGCTCGTGCTTTGTGATATCTCAACCGACTCATTTTGTAATAACCTACAATGACCGGGAATATTGTGACCATGACAACACTGGATCAGTCAATGTTTGTGAAAGCATCTGCGATTGTTTGCGTAGTACAATCCTCGCCAGGCAATATTGCACACCCGCTTTATATCGACTATTCAGTCATTTTTACGTATTGAACGATATTGTTTACGTTTATGAAGTAATTCTTTGAGTGGAAAAGCGCTACTGTGTTAACGATTGCGATTTTGTACAGCAAAGGGGCCTCGCATACAAGTAATTGGTTCGGCTACTGCGACATATAAAATCGAACATACTAGCATGCAATTTGTAAGTACAACTTACGACAACTAAAGACTCGATGTATTGAGTAGCTAGTTATGTTGACTTTCTTTTCGACAACGTCAATGCATCGTCGCGTCATCGAGAGAACAAGCGACACCGATGTGGCACCGGAATCGGAATCGCATTTTATGTTGCGGTTAGCTATGCCTTCAAATCAGAAACGCGCTTGAATATGTTCCATTAAACGTACACTTGTCTGCGCATGATAGACCACAAATTTTCGACGGGGTTGAGACAAGGTGAATTGGATGGACAGTAAAGCACATCGATCACCTCTTCCCCAAAACTATTTTTCCGGCTGAGATGTAAAACATGTGTGCTTGTGTTGTCCTGCTAAAAGATAAAGTCTGTACCACAGTTCAGATGTGCGAACGGGAGAAGATATCAAGACACCGTATAAACGTAGTCGTTCGAGTTTTGCCTCCCTGTCAGTACAACAAGTGGCAACTCATCACAGGCGCTAAAAGAAGCTCGAACCATGATTGTCGAAGGACGAGTCAATTTGGAGCACGTACTACCCATCGGACGGGAGAGGGAAAGTCAGGGAGTACATGGCGAGGTGTGCAATATCTAGTTTACGTAAAACCCCAGTGACGGAGATAAGTCAGTTTGCAAAAATACACGGACCTCACACCCTTGATTACCTAGGTTATCGTTTCGATAATGATGTGCCCATCTCCGGCTTGACTTCGCTTCGTCTGATGGACGGGCTGGCGTATATCTCACTAGTCGTGATGAACGCCGTCGGGTCAGTCAAGATTTCATTGTTACTCGTCCGAGAAAAGAATGAAATCCCAGAATGACCCGGCACCATCACGTATCAATATGTCTTTGCCCAGGATTGCGCGCACACAAACATGAGGCCAAAAGTGGCATGTGCTCTCCATCTTGGATTACGAAGCATCGACGTCGTTTAAAATGCGCTGTGCGGTAAGGACAGACATCGGCAGGCTTAGATGGACCTTGAGCTGGACGGCGGACAGGATTTTCTGCGCAGAGGTACGCGAAGAGAAGGTGAAAGTGTCGCTTCAATTGGAGTGAAGCGGGTCCTCGGCATCCATTTTGATCCCGAGGCGAGGCAGGAGACCAGTCGACGTGTAGTGTCGAGGCTCCATGTGGAAGGCGTATTTATAGCGCACATTCTCCGACCGGCCTCTCGAAGCCCTAATATCCTTACCCGCTCGTGGCATGTAAGTCTTGACTTCTTGTTGCCGTTCCCGTCGGTATTTGCCGCTAACATCGTCTTTCCAAATGGCACTTGCCGCTGTTGTGTGTCCAATGATACAACCATATTAAGGAATATACTTATAATACGTATGCTTCTATGTACGATATTATATGCCGCAGTAGTTAAACCAGTTACTTGAACGTGAGGGCCCCCATGCTTTGCAAAATCGCAATTGTCAACACAATAGGGTGTTTCTACTCATGAAAATTACGCCACTCTTGTAAACAACAATGCAGAATTTATATAGCTGGCCGAGTAGTCGATAAAAAGTGGGTGGGCGATATTACCTACCGCGGAGTGCATATCTGCATAAATCAATGGAATTGCTATTTCTACCGCACTTTTTGCTATTTCCACCATACACCAAGATGCCATCCATCGTTCGATGGATTCCAACTGCTTTCCACCTGCAGTCGGTCAAGCGCGTCTCGCTTTCACGTTGGTTCTTGTCGATCACAAGGACTGACTTTCGCTTTCGAAATGAGCCGCCGAGGGCACAATCTAGTACCACATGCGGATGAGTGCGCGTGTTGTCCGATCGTTTGATTGTGAATGCGAATTCTGCCCCCAGTCCAAACTTCTTGACGTGATCTATAAGCGCGTCTCGATCCGCAAAGACGGTTTGTGTGTTGAGTTTGGCTATGATGTGGTGGTGTGGAAATATGTTGTGGTGATGTGATGCTGTTTTGATCAAGCAAAGGTTATGGTGTGGTGGAACTTGTAAAGTGTAATGTGGCGGAGATTATCCAAAGTGTGATGTTGCAGAGCTTGCTAAAAGTCTGGTGAAAATGGCAATTCCCTAGGTCTATTGAGCAAGAGACATGGACAAGCCAATCAGATAGGCGAGCAAGGATTCTCTGATTTAATCTCGCTTCCCGTCTTTCTTTATGAGCTCCGCCCCCTTTTACTGTATGAGGCCCCTGCATCACTCCCTTCGATTCGATTTCTCCTCTGCTTCCTACTGCCGGTAGTACACAGATAGCCTCGAAAGAAAAAGTCTGACAACCACAGAAAATTATTTTTGATATGGTCTGCTTTTCTTATGGGTCAGTGTTGCTCACCAAAGATCGGATCGAGCTTAAGCATCTGCCACCTCTGTGTTGTCCAGTCCTTAGTCACGATAACGGCTCGTAGACGTTCGAAGGTGGAGTAGGTCGTAATGCTCGTCACACAGTGAAAAAGATGTTTGTGCAGCCACTCGAATGTGCACGTGATCTGTGCGCGTATAGCTCACCTTATTATCCCATAGCGACATGGGGTTGGCGTGCACACTTAAACGACCAAGACTTGCCCAACCCAATTCATTTAGCCTTATAGGGTTGCCTCGAGCCCATCATCAGACGCTTCGCTACTTTGCTTGTCAGCCTCGTTTTCATTCCATCTCTACGCTTCTTCTGTCGCGCTAGCCAAAGAACTCCTGCTGGATGTCGGGTAAAGTCGAATTTGACGGTGAAGCAGGTGTTCCGCTACCGCTCGAAGAAAACTCAAAGCGCTCGAGCGGATTCAGACGTCGCAGCTCCTCCGACGCGATCTCCAGTCCGTCAGCAAGCGCGGCGGTTCGCAAACAGCGAGCGCAAAACGCCATGTTGCGTCGAATAATTCGTCGAGATGCGGACTGCAGGAACGCCAACTTGTGCACGAAACTGCACGAATGGCATACCTGAGTCATGCACACTTGGCATATATGAGCGCTTGACAATGCCTTCTTCGTTGTTGATTGACATAGCGAGCATACGCCGTCAGGTCGATCGAGTGAACCGGTCTTCTTCGTCTTGAGAAACCAATAGAGCTTCTTCATCTGACCGCAATACACGCCTTTGCGGTACGACATCAGGGCTTCAGCTGTAGCTGGGACTGCAATACTTGGGTAAATGCTGCCCATCGAGTCGACAAAGCCCTTCATGTAAACTCCGACCTTTCCAGGCGCGATTTGACGGAACAACGCGCAGATGCTTAACGTGGCACGAACAATCTGGTACGCTTCCAGCTCGCGGATCCCAGGGACCTGGAGCGAATGCAACACGTTGTAGCCAATTTTCTCGCCAGTCACTTCGTCTTTGATGACTCCAGTGCCATCCAAGTAGACAAAATCGCGAGGTCGCAACAGCTTACGAAGCAGAGGTGGTGCGAAGTCCGACACACTCCATTTGATGTAGAGACCATCGACAGGGCGTTCCGGTGTCGCGGCGCTGATCTCGCACAGCATCTTACAATCGGCGATCTTGTCAGCCATGTACGCGGACTTGATCCGCATGAGTTCTGGACTGCAGTGATGAAGTCCGTACATTTGATCGTGCAGCGATCCGTCAATGGTTCCGACCGTGAGCACGCCATGAAGTGTTCGTGAAAAGCTCATGGTCCCCACGCTTTCGCTCACGGCACTCCGCGATGCTGAAAAATCCCCCATCTTTCGGTCCAAGTAGGAAGCCAGTCCGCCTCGCTTCTTGATGCATTTCCATCGTTTCGTATCGATCTCCTCGTTTTGAAACGGATCGCGGAACGCTCGATACTCGACCAGAGCATCGTCGACAAAGGCTCTGGCCAATGTCTTTAGCGCGTCCTGGTCGTCTTGGTGCAAAGACAAAGTTGGGACCGTGTTGGCAGGTAATGGGAACAACATGAGGAGGTTCTCTCAATGAGAAAAGTCGGTACCAAACCCCCAACAAGACGCGGGGCAAAGCAACAAAGTGTCGAAATGAAGCAATGGAGTCTCTTGCAAGTGGCGTCAGTCATTCATAATTGATCCCTATCCTAGAGAGCGTAAAACACACGTGGGAGACTTTGGCCAAGTTCGACAAGACGACAGATTCGCCGTGACATACGAAGTTCGAGCGCCACAGAGGCAGGCGGTAAGATATGTGCGATTTAAATGACCAACAAGCAGGAAACGTATCGAGAAACCTCACGAGAAGGCATTCCTTTTACAAGACTATAGTTCGCACAAGTGCCAAGCCCGTCCGACGTACGCACCGCACCGCAGTCACATAACACCTTGCTAGACGAAGACAGGCCGATCTCAGGCCTGTATAAAAGGGCGCACGATGCGGCTCCATGGCGTCTAGAACGGGCCGAGTGCATGGGTAACAACGAATGAAAAAGTGCAACAATTAGCGCACAAGACGACGACCTATTCGGATATCGCGGTCGTCGAGCATTGGGGTACGTGCAAAGCACTTACTGCCCGAGCTTGAGCGATGTCTAGTCTCATCACGAAGACACCGTATAACGTGTTACGCGAGCTTGCGCATGTCAAAGTGCCTTTCTACCAATCTTCACTTTGGCCACATGACGTGTCAAAGCGCGGATGCTTCAGGTGGGGCAGCGGTATTCATCGACCGTTCTCGACCGACCGAATCTTTTTTTGCCATCAAGCACCTCAGCAAACTGTGACTCACCCTGGCGTTCTCGCTCACGTCATTGCGTGAGAGTCATTGAGGAAGTCGCGACGAGTGTCTGCTGTCTGTCTACGCACGTTCACTTAGAACCACATTATGACGGACAAGCCCGTTGCCAGCCAGTCTCCACTATTCTCATGCCGGTATTTTATTTTACCGCACGTCATATCAGCATATCCAATCAGCATATCGTCTCAGCACATCATACCAGCGCGTTGTTCAGTTGTACTTAGTCGTGCTAACGACGCCAACCAATTTTAGCAGACAGGCACATGGCCGTATGTGGGTGTCCGGACACTACCATCCACTCTCCAGTCGACGTGATCGAATATCTTGACCTCGTGCTTCCAACGCGTTGAACGTCCGCGTGGCCACGAAAACAACTTCACAACTGCACACGAGCACGATCCATGCGGTTCTGAAGCACGTGCTGGTACATGCGTCCGAGCAAATCGACGGTGGAGGGAGACCCTGTCTCAAGGGACTTGACCGGATCGATACTGTTCGTATCAGAGACTAGTTCCCGCCACCGGCTTTCTCTCGATATCGGACGAGCGTAGATGGGATGGAGCCTGCGAGAGTGTCGCCACTTGGAGACCCCGTGGCGATCGCAGTTGCGGCGTCCGAAACTGCTCGTTGTGCTGCGCTGCCACGTGACGTCAACTTTGACGTGATACTGACACTCTACTCTCTCGGAATGGATGGGAAGAGAAAGTCTTCGGGCGGGCTGAGGTTCCCGGCACGACTCGACGCGCTTCGTACGACCGTCCTCGCGCCACGCAAACACTGTCCTGGTTACATACACGTTCTCTCTACATGCGCGAGTGGTAGAATGGCACGTAGCAGATGCGACGGAGCGTGCATGTAGAGTCCAATTAGACCTTGTCCGAAAAGGGTCCAGTTGTCCGAGAAGAGCGAGCGTTAGCGAACGTCGACAAGAGGTCAGCGAAGAAGAGGAAGACGAAGGAGAGCCTTGTGCGCGACTCAAGAGCCTGATGACTGAACGACGCTATAGCCGTGCGATTGCCAGCTCGTCCGAGTTGACCACATGGTCAGAAGAATTGACGTGCGTGCGTGTGGCCGGGTGTGAGCTGCAGGTCGCTCTTCCGATCGTCGAAAGGACTGAACTAGATTGTAAAATGTGACAGGAAACTGACTGGCCATGCGATGCGAACCCAACCGCTGCGTGACGCCAGCTGCAACGGCAGACAGTCGAAAGCATCGTTCTTGGCATCCATGGACGTAGAACAGAGACGCGTTTGTATACTGCCAGACGCACATCATCATGACGGAATCGAGGGATCAGCAAACGACTGGATGGCATGTTCGATGCAGTAGTCGCACGACGTGAGTACGTGACGGGAGGTCGCAAGGAGGTCTCAATGCTCAAGGGCTTGGTGCAAAGCACAGCTGAACAAGCTTTCTAGTCTTGTGAACAAAGGGCAAGAATCGTTCACAAACCTAGGAAGCTTCGTTCGTAAGACTAGGAAGCTTCGTTCAGCCGTGCTTTGCACCAAGCGGCGCAGCTGCGAGTCACGAGGTATGTTAGCGTCTCGCTCCAGTGTGTGAACGTGCCCTTTGTCAGCGGATCTTATAAACCCGCGCCACTTACCCGCAGAGTTGTTCGCAATGAACCGTCACATTGTCTCACGTCCTGACGCAACATGATGTCCGTCAACCATCCAGCGCGTCACTGCGCTCGACACACACACCTTGCAATCTTGTCAAGAGGTCATGAAACGCCCGCAGCTGTTTCGCGCTACAGCGTCGTTATATGGCAATCCATCAGTGCAGAAGAATGAAAAGACAAACGCGCATATGGGCGTTGCAAGTGTCGCGTAGCGTGACACACACGCGCCTATTGCCATGCTATTTTTCTCAGTAACGACGCATGAGATCAGTTACCAAGACCGAATGCAGAGCCTATGGCTCAACTGCGTCGTAGTGGTGGCCATCGCATAATGTATGCTTAGGCGAATGAGCTATAACCTACTCGGATACGTCGTCGTCTAGTCCGAACCAACCAGTCTTCGGAGCAGAACCCCTTTAGTAGCTACACAAAGATGAGCACCGTCTGTCTGAGCAATGGATTCAAGTGGATCGGTTCGTATCTTGTGCTGGCAATGCAAGCGACAGTCTGTAAAAGGGCACCCGTCAGCCACGATCTCGGCATCTGATGCATACCGCTAGTATCGGTCACCCCAAGTGCAGCTCCGGTCACTTTGTACCCACAGCAGATGTGACTGGTGCTGACGAGCGCTCCTCTAGTGACAGAGATCGCAGTTTCCACTATCTTTCTGATGTTTGCTCGCGCACTGCGTCGCAGGGACTTCTTTCCTCGCCGCTAACGAAACCGTCTCATTTCGCTGCCCGTGACGAGCCTGATCCAAGTAGATGAGGCAGCAGGAAGATGGATGGCATGCGCCGCGTAGTTCCCACGTCATCACCACACACGCGATATCGATATCGAGCCAGTGGAAGATCGCCCGCAACTGTCAGTTTACAAGGCATTCGGTTTGTTAACAGCGGTAAGCAACTGCCTCTTTCTTCAGGACTGCTTCGATGCGGTACCTGCGACGGAGCTGATCAGTCGAAGCAGTCGCGTGCCGCCCGTCGTCACGGCATTCACTGGCAGCACAGACCCCCAAGACTTTCGACGGGTTGTGCGCAACGGCCATATGCCGACGCCGGTTAAGAATAGATCCCGACAAGAGCGAGAGGGCCGGTCGTACGGTCACTTGGATTCAGGCGACGGTCGTACAAGGGCCGCGGACGTCCGTGAGTAATGTCATGGTCCCAGCCACATGGGACATATGGCGGTCCTCACGCGCTGTCGTAGCGATTTGCGAAGCGGTCATCGTTAAATTTATTTTTACTTACTAGATAGGGCAAAGGGTCTCAGGGTCTCCTCTCACCGACCGACTCCCAAGCTTTTCACGCTCGGCACGACGTCCGTCTTCACTGCGCGATTCGCGTCCTGCCTTCTGCGCGAATCGCGTCCTGACCTCTGCTCGAGTCGCGTCCTGGCAGTCGTTAGCTACCGAGCGCTGCATCCGCTCTCGCACCTCTTCGGGTCACACTATCGACATGACAAACGTTTGCGCCCAAGTGGCCAGATCGCGACTGACCAAAGGTCCTGCCGTCTCGTCTCTTTTTTTTTCAACCTGCTTGAAGGATCCGGTGTCCCACTCGACGAGACGCCGCGCGCGGGCTCAGGAGCCAATCAGACGTCAACGTTGCGATCTCTATCCCGTCTAATCGTACACAATGGGACGGCTGTCGCATGATGCAGATGCGTCACGCGCTCATCTCCTTGTTGCTACAAGTTCAACGTGGGCTCCACAGGAACATGCACTTGGCAACTGCAAGGGTGCACGTGCTCGATGTGACGGCGGCTCGATCTTCAGCATGGCCTGCGCACCGATACATTTGCATCGTTGCATACCAGCATACATCCATGCATACCAGTCTATACATCGTTGCAGACCAGCCTACATACTTGCAGACAGGCATACATAGATTCAGCTAAACATACAGACAGCCATACAGTCAGGCAAGAGACACACCCACCCACCCACCCACGCGCGCAGACAATCGACACGTCAACCTGCACGTACACTTTCGATCCATTCTCGATTTCGCACCGCCGAGCACCCGTCCCGCCGTCCCTTCACCGCCGCGCCCCACTTTGCACCACCAGCTCGCAAGTCCGTCGTCGTTGTTGTCGTTGCCGTCATGTTTGGCAAAGTATCGAACTATGTGTCGTCAATGTGGGACTCGGTTGTCACGGCCCCGACGAACACCGACTACAACATTGTGACGACGCCCACGGCGAGGACCAGCAGTCCGTCCACGTCGGACAAGGGCTTTGTGCTGTCGCTCGTGCTCTTCCAAGCCGTGTGTCTGCTCATCTTCGGCCTCAAGTTCGACATGCCCAGCCCCGAGTCACTGGACCCGACGGACGCCAGTGCCTCCACGTTGAGCTCGTACCCCATGTACATGGACATCCACGTCATGATCTTCGTCGGCTTTGGGTTCCTCATGACGTTTCTCCGGAAATACAGTCTAAGTGCCGTCTCGCTCAACTTCCTCCTTGGGGTCCTGGCCCTCGAATGGGGCGTCATCATGGTGCCAATGGCCCACCAGCTGCTGGGCAACCACTACTCGACGGCTGTCCTGAACATCCCGACGCTCATCAACGGCGACTTTGCCGCTGGCGCTGTGCTCATTAGCTTTGGGGCAGTGCTGGGGAAGACCACACCAACGCAACTCGTGTGGATGACGTTCCTCGAAGTTGTCTTCTACGCCCTGAACGAGTACATTGTGTACGTGTCGATGAAAGTCACTGACGCGGGAGGCTCGATGGTCATCCACACGTTTGGCGCCATCTTTGGCCTGGCCGTAGCCATTGTCCTGGGCGTCCCGTCTCCCCGGGAACAAGAAGAGAACACGTCGCGGTACCACTCGGACGTCTTTGCCATGATTGGCACGCTCTTCCTGTGGATGTACTGGCCGTCGTTCAACTCGGCTATGGTCGTGGAAGACGGGTTCCAGAAAGAACGGGCCGTGATCACGACGGTCCTGAGCATCGCCGCGTCGTGTGCGTCGGCGTTCGTAGCTTCGAAGCTCCTGAGCCACTCGAAGAAGTTCGACATGGTGCACATCCAGAACGCCACACTCGCGGGCGGCGTAGCAATGGGCACGAGCTGCAACCTCGCGATCAGCCCCGCGGCTTCGATCACCGTCGGGCTCGTGGTCGGCATTGCGTCGGTGGTCGGCTACTGCTTCGTGACGCCACGACTGGAACAGATGCTGCGCCTGTCGGACACGTGTGGCATCCTCAACTTGCACGCGATGCCAGGGATCGTGGGTGGATTTGCTGGCGCGCTGGTCACGTTTTCGGCGTCCGACGATTACTATGGCGATAGCCTCACGTCCGTCTACGCCGCGCGGGTGGACCGGTCGGCCACGAAACAAGGCTGGTACCAGCTCTTTGCGATCGTGTCGTCCGCGGGGATCAGTGCGATCTCAGGCATTGTCGTCGGCCTCTTTCTCAAGTCGCGTCTGTTCCACCAGCAGAAACTCAAATACGACGATGAGGAGTATTTCCACGTGCCCGTCGCGGACTGCGAAGTCTGAGCTTCCACAGAGACTGAGCGTGGCTAGTCGCGCACAGTACTGTATACTGCATCCTACATCTTCTTTTTCTGCACTGCTTCTTCTTCTTCTTCTTCTAAGCGTGAAAGAGTACTACGTGTCGTTCATGCATTCCAAGACTTCTGTATCGTGCGTCTCTGTCACTTCATTGCAACAACAACAAGTTAGCAACATCTGTGTACGATGATACGCTTGCCGGACGGCAAAGAGTCGAAAGCCCAACGATCCACACACTGTCAATATACGCTCTCGAGCAACTTCACGTCACGCTGACAAAACCTCAGCGATGGCTCAAGACGGAGGCGTTACCTGTGTCGCTGATGGAATAAACACCGTCGTCTGACAGGGCACAACCCCATTTGTCACATATATTCGTCACGACGCTTTCCTATCGACAACACGAGTCGGAGCTCTTAACCGTAATCACATCCATGCAAACAAAGCATGCGCTCGTCGACTAAATCGACATCATGCACTTTTTCGATAGCGGCCAGTCAGATCGACTGTCGGGGGTAGTTGCGAGGGCGACCCGTTCACCGGACACGCCGTAGATGTCGAGTGGCAAACGAGCAACGGTCTAAAGTTAGCCACAGCACACCGACGCGACAACGGCTTCGACGTCTCCAACGGACAAGGGCGAACCTTTATTGCAAACGTCGTGACTGCACCCTGTGCCCAAAAGAGCTCGAGCACAGTCGGACGGCAACCCTACAAGAGGACGCCAACACCGTTGCCACGCGGTGCAGCTAGCGACCACTCTGCACGCCATGCACCGAACTTGTGTTGACCACCTTATCATCCCATTGTGCTCCCCGGTGAACAGAAGTGCTCGGCAGTCTCTAGCTCAGAACAACAACTCGACGAACGGACATCGAAAGACGCTTCAGCAGCTCGTGACTCCGCTGAGCTCGCAGCCAACTAGCGCGAGTCAAGCAGCGAGCGAGTTCGGGACGCAATGTACCAAGTTCCTGATACACTCCACAAAGCAGAAAACGAGGTAACAAGAGGCAGCAGAGCAAGTGTACCCATTAGCGTCAACAAAGTCGACATCGAGCGAAGCGCACCATGCATACATCCATCCAAGTCCTCTATGCATCACTAAAACCCCAGCATTTCTTCCTCCTTTTCACCCACTGCACATACTAAATACATACAGCAGTCGCCATACTTGGTGTTGTTCGAGCGTGAGGAGAAGAAAGAGGTCAATAAAGAACACACAACACACTCGGACACGATGGCGTACCCCCTTTTGACACAAACTACCCACTTTGAAAAGACATCCTAGCATAGGACTCTCTTCTCGCTTGTTTAGGGTTACGGGCCGGCCATCAGACGACCCCAAGTCGGTCGCAATGCATACAAAACCCAAGAAATACGTATACACGTGCAGCTCCGCCCTAAGTACGAACAATGCACACAAAACGTGCACACTTTGCCCCAACTGCGTCCCCACCCATCGTCCCGCTCGGAGGAGGTCCCGTCTCCCTCTCCCTCGTCACTAGCAGCCACAAGGCCCAGACAAAGTGCACACCAACTGCTACACACCCGTCCCTCTCGTCCGTTCGAAAGCCGTGTACAAAGCGCCTGCTCGCACGTTGACGCCCACTCGCACGTCTTCATCATCAGCCGCCAGTCACTCGAAAATGGTACAACGATCCAGAATGGTACCGATAAGGGTGTGGTCGACACAGACCCTGCCACATCCGATATCCCTATCACTTTCCAGATCGCCCAACAGTTGTGTGCGCAACACGACGAAAGTCCCGAAACAATCCGACAAAAATCTCGCTATCTCGCTACGCGATTCCAGTACGATATAATCTGAGAATATCGGCCGCGCCACTCATCCTCGCAATTGTGACAAAAAGTGTCGACGGACAGACAGACAAACAGACAGACGTCATGGCAGTGACCTCAGCTACATCGCGTAGCGTCTCGACCAGCGGCCCCACCACCGACGCTGCCTCAATTGTGACAGTCGATGGCTACACCAGTCGAGGCAGCGGTCTCTCGAGCGCGTCCGCTCAAGACTTTGCGCTGTTACAGGACTTTACAGTCTATTTGGACCTTCGCCTGAAGTGTCAAAACTTGTCGCTCTTGCGTCGGATCTTTGCGGATTTTATCCAGCACCACGCCACGACTTTATCCCACCTGACGCGCCAGGGCTGCAGTATTATCTCGATTTTTCCCGTCCCCCGCACGAGTGCGAAACGACGCGAACAAGCGCAAGAGCTCCTGCGACAGCCCAAGAAAGCGCACTATCGATCGGCTGAGTGTGTGTTGCAGTCGCTCGAGCGCCGGACAGCCACTCGGGGAATGGCGCTCCTGAGACAATTGCTGGAGGAGTTTCAGGCTCAGCGAGAGACGTCGCTGCGACAGTTTGTCGACCGCGGAGACCGAGTGATTAGTGTGATTCCCTTTGCTTTGCCGCCGTCGCAGCAGTCGCTGGCGCCGAGTTTCGGCACGTTGCGCGAACGGCTTTTTGGACCAGTAAGCGACGGAGACGGTGGCAACAACGCTACGAGGGATACTAACTATGTGGGCGATGATGGAGATGGAGGCGATGGTTTTGACAGAAAGGAGGGACAAGTGTCGCTGGCAATGGATACGAAAAGGTACAAGACACGGTCGAGTCGAAGCTGGAATGCGGATACAGAGAAGGGGGCAATCACACGGCAAGCGTCGCGGGCGTGTGTGGTGGAGTGTACTAGTGGCAATGCTGAACAAGAACTTGGGATACCGAGCGCGAAAGCGATGCGATCGAGCAGCGCCAAGACGCAAAAGACAAGTTCACTCGAGGTGGTGAATTATTCTGGCGATGCTGCAAGTGCTGCATGTGCTACCCGGAGAGCTCATGGGGCTGTTCTTGCTGAAGCACCAATATTTCACGATACGTCAGCTGAAGGTTCGATGGCCCGAGCTGTGCGATCTGATGCCCCGGCACGTCAAGCTTTGTCAGCTGATGCTGTGTCAACCGATGCTCTGCTGCCTTCAGGCTCGGCAGCTGTGATGCTGACGTCTCGAGCTGTACCTGCTGACGCTTCGATGTCGCGAGACTTGTCGACCACAGCCCCGACGTGTCAGATTGCGTCCGTCGAGACTTCGACATCTGTGGTTGCATTAGGTGAAGTGCCGACGTCTCAAGCTGTGCCAGCCGATGTCTTAGAATGTCGAGCTGTGCCTGCTCAAGGTTTGACACTTCTCGATTCGTCGCATGAGGTTTCGACACCCCGAGCCGTGTTACATAACGAGGCTTTGACGCCCCAAGCTGTGTCATGTGAAGCCCCGACGTTCCACGGTTCGACAGATATACTTTTGGGGCCTCAAGCGTCGTCTACACGTCTTCTGACGGCTCCATCAGCGGCAGATGATGTGTTGACATCCCAAGATTTGACAGCTGGAGTTCCGACGCCTCCAGCAGTGTCAGTGGATACCCCGATGTCTCAACCTGATGGCCGGACATCTATGCCGTCATCAGCTATTGTTTTAGCGCCTCAAGGTTTGCTATGCGAAGCTACATCGAGTGAGGCATTGTTATCGGAAGCGTTGCCGACGGAAACGCATTCGTTTCAATCTGATTGTGCGGAGTCTAGTGTAGTTGCCATGCATCAAAGGCAGGTAAGTGGCGGTGGCGGTGCTGATGCATCTACTAATGCAGTAGCTGGAGACGATGGCATGCGGGTCACTGGCTGCTCTGTCTCCACTGAGCTGTCATCGGAGAGCAGTACAAGAGGAAGCGCTGACGTTCGTCTGCCAGTCCAATATGCAGCTGAAATGGCGACACAAATAACAGAATGTGTAGAATAGGCTGCTCATTTGGACGTTACTACTGAGACAACGTGCCGTCGCAGGCGTGTTGATGCTGTCGGTACCGCCAACGCAAAAGACGGTGTTAATCCAGGGGTGAACGTGTCTAAGTCGGCTACGGACATAATGCGAAAGCGCGGCACCATGACGCCAGCAAGCTGTACACTACCACAGGAAGGACCAGTCGGTCCTGCTCCGACACAGACTGAGTCTTCATCTACAGCAGTTGAAGACATGTCAAGTGCAGCTCCATCTACACCGAATGAAGACCCGTCAAGTGCAGCATCATCTACACCAGTTGAAGACATGTCAAGTGCAACTCCATCTACACCAATTGAAGACCTGTCAAGTGCAACTTCGTCGCCGGTGTCTTCACCAAGTAATTCCGTACCATGCAATGATATACCAACTGCAGCCTTGACCGGCTCGCAAGGCAAGCGAATGCGAAAGCGTACTGCCGAGATAAGCAACGAGAGGCCACGCAAACGAGATAAGCTGATTGTGTCGGAGGAAAAGTGCCGCATTCAGACGGATTTGGCACAAAAACTGAAGACATTTGAGGCAAAAGCTCCCTGGAAGACCGTCTATGGCAATTTACCAGTGCCGTTCGATGAGACCGAATATCCAGTACTTGCAAAGAAGTTTGCTCAGTTTTGGCGCAGACACTCTCGCGCTGTGTGGGAGCGCAACTTCTGGGCACCCATGTCGCGCAAGCTCAATTTGGCTGATTTCAACAGACGCAACAATCGCCAATTTACGGCCAAGACTGCGTTCGAGTCGCTCATCGTGTCAGTGTATGAAACATTTGGTGCAGCTTTTTTTGTCAAGCTCGATACCCAGAAGCCGCGGCACCCAGGTTGGTGGTATTACGGCCCCGTTGTCGCTCTGTTCGCCCTTCATCAGATCAAAGGCGAAGAAGCAATGTGGGAATACGTCACTCGCGAGGTGTTGGAGCGTTTTCCGGACTGCAAGCTACCGGTTCCGCTGACTGCGGCAAACTCCGGTGCGATACGAAGTCGATACAAAGGAGAGAGCGGGTCCATGTGGATGGCTAACCACTACTTAACGACCACCATACTACGTGAGATTGATGAGCTAAAAGCACGACAGCAGGTTTGTGAACAATCATAGACCGACGGCAATCGAGGACGTGGTTGCTGGGGAAAAGTGATGGTGGAGCGCTGGTGGAAAGCTAGCAATCGCGGTTGTGTGAATTGAGAACGTGATGTGTGTGGGTTCGAGACAATGCGCAGCTTTGTCCTCGGACGTGGAGTGAGCTGCTAAAAAGCTGCACAAGCAGTGTCAACATGCTGCACACCGACACGTTCTACCCTCGCTTCAGACAGTTACATATCGTGTGTGAATGGAATCTGACAAACAATTGTACGAATATCAGTGCCGCCCCACTAAACGCGGAGTACGTTTGGCAATTGGCGGGACCTTATACATGTAGTGGCGTTCCCGTTGTTGCTGTATTGGAATATGTTTGATGTTATTTGGAATTGTTTGCTGCCTCTTGTTCATTTTCGCTCTGCTTGCTTGGCACCCATCGACCAGTATCGTAGCTTTGACTGCAAAGCATTTGACTCCTCGACTGACGAACAAAAAAACGCTGCAGCAGCACACTGTGTCTTCTATCGACAGACTGCTAAACTTCTCAATTTATTAGACTGGCTGTCAAACTTCACACTTTGTTAGACGTTAATGACCGCCACTTCGTAGACATGTTCCGCTATTTGTTGCAGCTTGCGCCTGCATAAGCGATCGAAGCCCATGTACGGAAGCAAATGCTGCTGTCGTAAACAAGTTTGCGAACGACTGCGATCGGATATCCACCTAAGTGTTCATCACAGCGTTTGCGTGAATGGATAACGTTGTCAGAGTCGGCAGATCACCTGACGAGATACCCGCGCTAAGCCATTTCGATTGTCGGCAGGCGTACGTTAGCTAAGCTAAAGGACAACTCTGCCCGACAATAACTTCTATGTCGACGTCCAGGCAGCCGTAAAGGTGACTGGAAAAGTTTCCACTGCCACCTAAGCTGATCTTTATACTATGTCATGCTTGCGCTGACGATACAGGTGGACACTAGAATCCTGCTTTTGTGGAGGCATCTTCAGGAAGTCATGTCATTGCGACAGTAGCCGAGAAACGTCACGGGCGTGGACCTAAACAGTCACAGTCCGTTTCTTCAGCTTTGCTAGCACCAGACAAGAAACTGCCATTGACGTGACCTCGTACGCAACGGCAAATGGTATATTTCCTAGTACAATGATGACTGCGCCGCATAATGTTCAGCGACCCGCATACTGTTGTGTGGGATAGTGGTCGACGTGCGACACGCACGCTCCACACGTTTTAGCAGCCATACGTCGTTAGGTTTACATGCATCGTCTTGATATCCCGACTCAAAGTTTGACACGTCTGCACGCCGATGCGTCAGAAACGCTTGTAGATGTTCAAACGACCATCCGGAAGGTGCTTTGTTGCCTCTCAATCATCTCACAGCTTTCGGTGTCAGCGAAAGGGGCCAACTTGATGAGGCCGAATTCATTGCAGTTGTCGAAAAGCCGCGAGCCGCATGATGATCTGAGACCGCTTTTCTGGCATGACGGGATCATGCCCCATCCAATGCGTGTGTCCATCATGATATGTGAGGCGCTTGAGTGTCGCAGAGTTGCGATAAACGAGATTGTACGAGCCTGCGTGCAAGCTGTGATAGAGTTCTCCATTAGCAAGCAGGCACATGAGCTTCGTACCAGCTACCAGACGAGTATGCAAACATGCAAGCATCGTATCGAAAACCTTCCAGCTTTGCTTCTACAACACTGCCATTGCTTTACGCCATTTTGCTGGTGAGAGTTGTCGACGTGACTTGCAGCGCTAGTAACTAGACCGTAGGGATAGTCGGGTATGCTACAAGGTTATGGAGCTCGAGCATCTGTCGCACGATGTAAGTCGATCAGACTTTCGATACGTCGTGGGTGCAAAGTGCTTGTACCCGGTCTCAGTAGGCCAATACGGTGTCGTGAGTTTCATTCTGAGGCAAGCGTAAGCCAACCCATGTCATACGACATGCCTTTGTAAACGCCAAGCAGAACTAACTTCATGCGGTATGCGTTCACATTAGATCGTCGCGACAGTGGGTTGTAGATGAACGTTACCATACTAGACATGACGCAGAGATCCATGACTTGTACATGATCCATGCTGGTCAATGATGACAACTATAGACAGTTTACCTCGATGCGTTTTTCTCCTGTGTAAGTAGTGACTGAAATGGTAGATGCAGCACCTCACTCTCTATCGCTCGTGAATCTCGGATCCGTTTCCATCTGGGTTCATTACCTCCAAGATACTGACAAGTACCTTGCCCTTCATCGAGCTGTATCGTGTTTCGGTCACTTTTGTGCTTTCACACGTCGCCAAGCACGAATGGCTACATCATGTGCATCAAATATGTGCATGTGTGTCGCGACGTCAACTATAAGTGAAGAATACGCATGATGTCATTGTCGGATTGCCACGCCACACATTGCCTACAGTCTGGCAGACTTTGTTGTGGACTAGTAGCACAGTCGTGCTCGAGCTTGTCGCTAAAAGCAGATAGCCTCCATACCCAATCTTGCGATGCCAAAGTAAGCCTCGCTCACTACACAGCTACAAGCAAGTCGAGCAAAGAGTCGGTGCGCTTTATTGGACATTAAGACTATGCTGCACAGTGATTCCAAGATCGCGATCGAGTCGATTCTGAATACATCGTTTGGCTGATCGGAGCCATGAAATTGCGGCAACATGACTCGCAACAATGCGTTGCTTGGGGTCGCGACCATTTATGAGAAGACGTTGAAACCAGTTTGGCATTTCGTGGCCAAATATTTCCGTCGACATTGCCACATGAGACTCTCCACAACATGAGTCGATGAACATTACAAAATTCAGAGGAAGTGCTCTCACAAAGGGGCAATGCGCTCGCTCGTAATGTATTCTGAGTACGGCTGCGAGTTTGTCAGAGACATCTGGATGAGGTTCAGTAAGACCAAAACTGGATGTATTCGATACATGTACAAAAGTCTTATGGACGCATACTGTTAACTCTTTTGTAATGTACTACGTAGCAAGGACACGTGACGGTATTTGTACTCCTTTACAAAGGAAGTCGACCCGAATGGCGCCCTGCACTCGATCGCTTTTGCTCACGATCATGAATCCTTCATGATCGTTGGCAACCGATCATGAATTCTTACTCGACGATTTTCGCGGTAGAAAGCTTCATGCCACAGCATCTGACGACACTGGTTTTCAAAACTGGACCTTGTCAAAGAGTGGGGCTGCAAAAGTGATCAGCATGCCATGTATGCAGAACGATTGCAGCGAGCTACGAGACACTGAGCTTACCTTTCGCCCAACCTTTCGTATTGGTATGATGCATGCGCTCGATGCTTGTTTCGTAGAAAAGTTTGATGACAACTTGATCATGGTGTTGACGTATGTTGCTGCTCAGGCTGTACGTGCGACCGAAAGTAAACTTAATGCGAAGGCACGAGGGATACACGCACGGCAAATGCAGATATGATCGATTTGTAACGTGCTTGATCTGAATGAAGGGGCGCTACCTATGCGCTCAACGTGCCAACAAAAATGGGAATACGTTTTACAGCATCAGGCCGTTACGACACCTCCTTACACACTCTGTTTGTCGCAAGCAGCGACACCTGGCAAGCACAGCTTCGTTCATCACCGTCCGCAGCATCCATACTATGTGCTCCGATATCGCTTCGCATATTCACGGCATGTTTACCGTTCCGGGTGGCAACTTGCTAAACTGAACATGGCAAGTTGCTTCTCTATGCTTTATTGTTACATTTGTTCATGATCCGCCGTACACATATCGAGCTGTAGGTGCGATGGCGATGGCACTGACGTTGTCGCAGCTCGAAAATGACTTGCGCGAAATCGCGGTCCGTACAACTGCCGTCCCCCATTCGCGGCATTTGGCCCCCTTCAACTTAAATGCCACGACATCTCTCTCGCCTAGGCCCAAATCTTGAGCAACGTGTCCCAGCTTCCTGTGCACAGTGCTTGTCCTTTGGGGTCCACACCGAGACACGAGACCCGGTTCTCGTGCCCCGCGAGCTGGTAGACGTGCGTACCCGTGGTGCTCAGCACGTCCCAGCAGTAGCAGTTATAGTCGTCGTAACCAGCAAAGAGGAAGCGGCCTGACTTAGAAAAGCTCACAGATGTAATCCCACACAGAATCTTGTCGTTGCTAAAGTTATTTAGCTCTCCATATGCTCGTAGATCAAAGAGCCGACAGCTAGAATCGTCCGAGCCAGTGCCGAGAGCATTGCCACTAGGAAAGAAATCGACCGAGTTGATATCCGACTCGTGTCCGTGAAACGTGTGCGTGCTTTTGCCCGTTCGAATGTCCCACACTTTGGCCGTTGCATCACACGACCCCGAGACAAACACGTTGGTATCGTGAGGGTTCAGACTCACGGCCATCACGTCGCCCGTGTGTTCCCGGAACGTGGTCTTGACTTCGCCCCGTTCAATGTCCCACAACATGCACTTGGAGTCGCCTGAGCTCGTGACAATCGTCGACTCGTCAACAAAGCGACAGCAGCTCAAGTAGCCGTCGTGTGCTGCGAGTTCCTGAGCGGGACGCGCGACTTGCGCTTGCGACAAGCGGTAAATACTGCAGCGGTTGTCCAGGCCGCCACAGGCCACCATGTGGCCCTTCGTCGGCTCGAAAGCACACGTCATGACCCAACTCGACCGTAGCGGAATGACCTGAGCCTTGTGCTGCATCTGCGCTCTCCAGACCAGCAGTTTCCCGTCCTGCGACGCCGACACGAGACGGCGACTGTCGGAACTCCAGTGCAGCGCGTAGACTTTGCCGCAATGGCCTTTCAGGACGCGTCTGCAGACGGGCGCGGGCGGAATGGCTTTGGCTTGAGCTCGATAGTCGTTGCGAGCGAAGCCGCCGTCGGCATTGGCGGCTCGTGTGGCCGCTATGGTCGCTCGAAGTCGGTCGCACTTTTGCTGGAGGGCTGCGGCGCTGGACATGGTGGAAACGCGAGCAACGGGGCGCGAGGCGGCGCGTGAAACGGGGTGCAATGGAGAGAGGAGACCGCGGCGGAGGAGATGGGCGCGAGACGGCGGGCGAACGAGGCACAGGGAGAGCGCTACAGCGCGAGAACGAACGCGCGGCGGCAGGTGGAGTGGGAAGCCGCCCGCGGTGCGCGACGAAATGATTTTAGGGTGCGCTAACGCGTTACGGGCGCTCGCAGCGGGTGGTGGGTGGTGAATACGGGACGCTATCGGATCGACGCAGTGGATTTTTGGGCAACGTGCAGGTGCGCTGCGGACTGGTGCGCGGAAAAAGGCCGAATGGGTCGATTGTTTCCTCGCAGAAAGGCGCGCGCGGGCCCACTATCGCTACAATTAGCTGTGCGCGAATCCTACGATGACAGCTGTGTAATGGCTGAGTCTAAAGTTACGTGGTGTACGTACACGACCGGTGGAAACCAGACGTCTGCCAATGCTGAGTGGTGTTGAATGCGCAAGATCCTCATCTTTCTCAACGCGTCCAAACCCTTGAGGCCCTTTACTTCATCGTGGCTTGACGTCTTGCCACTTCAGCGCGACCTTTACAGAACTAGAAAGCCTGAGCGAGTTATCGCTCGAATCTGCAGAGTCAAGAAAGGCAGTGTCCGACAAGTCAGCGCCCAAGGCGAAACATGCTGAAGAGCATGACTTTTTTTCCACTGATCTTGCTGACTAACGCGAGAAAGGGACCGACAACGTTGTCCTTCGAGAATCGCTGGGGGCACAGGATAGCTGTAAGGGTACTCAACAGTCGAGAAAATCTCGCGCTTTGCTGATATATTGACGTCAATTAGCAAGTTGTTCCCCACTCTGTCAACGAGCGACTGCACAACACCCTCCGCGAATTTTGGTCTCACCAACGTCTGCACACGTATTATTTCTTCGGAACGCGATGCATAAGATGCCCCTCCATCGCTCGTCGACGCGTGTACGGTCCACAGTATCCTGACTACTTCCCTCTACATCGAGTCGTACGTCCAATAAACTATAATATGGTCCCTATAAGCTCATCACGAGTCAAATACTTGCGATCTTTCTGACGAAAAGAGACTCATTTGCGCTCGTGTGAATCAGTGGGATTGTCAAACAGTCGGAAGAGAGCAAATCCACGAATAGCTCACTTCACAGGTGTGTGTGTGTTACTTCATACAAAGCCCAGTCTCGAGACAGTCATCTGCAATGGACTCACCAACCCCAGTGTCCACCTATCGTCCATCTTTGTCTTTTGCCGTACAGGACGCACTCTATTCGTTCTGGAGACTGCCACATTCCCATCGTTCATCGCTGCAACAAACAGTGCCAACGTTTTGCTCCTATGACAATGGGGTCGTGGCTCTGGACTGGAGTTTGTGGTTGAGCTTTGTCGATGGCAATTGTCAAAATGTGGAAAACAAGACTACTGAAATAGAGACAACATGGGCTCTGGCACTTCATGCCGAGGACTTTATTCGTGACGGGACACTAAAGTTGCACAAAAATGATCACGATCGCACTTGGCAAGCAGTCCGTGAACTAACACATTTCAGTACGTTGACATCGGTGGCCATGATGCTCTCTGACAACGCCGGAGACTATTTCATGGCGTTCACGATTGGCGTCACGATCTTGGAAAAAGCGTTGTACGATCTGTACGAAAAACAGGCCGACCCGGCAACATGTCGGAAAAAGAACATGATACTACGGGACTTGCTGCATTCAGAGACGCTCGTCGATGCCTTACCCAGAGGCTTTCTGCATCTGCTCAAGATGCTGCTCTTGCCATCGGGACTGAATCTTCGGAATCTAGTGTGGCATGGATTTATCATACCAGCCGAGTGTCCCAAATGTTTCGGGTGCCTCACGATGCTGCTCGTCATGATGCTGCCTGCGTTTATGGAAGACGGCGCCAGTAGCTCTACGAACGAGACTGTGCGTGACCATCACGTCGCTGGACTTTTTCGCATCGACAGCTTTGACGGCCAATTTGGCACGAAAACGCAGGAGCCGCTGCAAGAAGGAGATCTGAGACCACAACTCGATCTTGCTGCTGTCCTTCGTCAGGAACTGCCAGCAGTTCGAGATCAAGTCATACGACGATGGACAACTGCCCCTTTTGTTCCTCATGGACGGTCAAGTCTTCTTTGGCGTGCTATTGACGCCCTGGTAGCACGAAGAGACGAGCTGTGGTTCCTGTTTGCTGTACTTCCTATTCTCGAACATGCACTGCGAATGAAGTTTTTTCACGCGAACCAGAATCGCGCGAGACTAGCAAGTGCATGTACGTCGGCTCAGGCCGACGCGTACTATTCGACACTGGATGGTTTCGGACAGAGAGACAAGCACCAGGTACTGTTGCATCCACTTGTTCTAATGCAAGCTGCAGGCGCGGGAAGCGCGAGCGATGAGCACGACAGCGACTGCAACGACTCTGTTATGAACGCTTTGTACGAGCAGCTTCCCTTTGCATCACTGGCGGCTTTGCTGGATCTCTTCATGATGTCCAGCGGGCCCAACCTTCGTGCAAAACTCTGCCATGGGGAAACGAGTTTGACGAGTCTTCTACAAAGCAGCAACGATGAGGCTCTTGCACGAATGAAACTCTCGTCCGCCACTCAGCTGCTGTTTGAAGCACTTGTGCTTATGTGCGAGAGCAGTATTGAGCCGTCCAGTGCGCTTGCTACCGAAACGGCAAATGAAGCTGATAAGGTCTCACTACCTGCTGCTGTCAGGTGCCGTCTACAGATCTTCAGTGATACCACGACGTGCTCTTTTCACCCGTTCTACCGCTTGTATCGAGCCTTGACTTCGGCTCATTGCGCTGCATCGGCATTTGCTGTTTTTCGTGCAAAATACACTGCGTACAATCTCGAAGAAGTCGACGGAGGCGAACCTCGAGAACAACAAGGCCTCACCCGTGTTCGATTTGCTACTTTTGCCACTACTGATGGCGCACCGTTCACACTTGTGGAGAAATCGGATCGAGTGGCGGAGTTTCTAGCAGCTTTGTCCGCAAAGAGCAGGTCGACAAGTGACCTATGTGCTGTAAAGGTGAAGAAGGAGAAGAAGAGCTTTGCTCACTTGATCGGGCAGCTCAGCAGTCAACTTGACGCAGTGTCTGCTCGCATTCGGGACGACTTTGCAACGAATCATCGGGCACATCTCGTCGGGTCCCGCTGTTGTATCTTCTTGCCGCCAACGGAAGAAGAACGCACAGTTTCGTCAATTGGTGGTGCAGATCTTCTCGAAGGATCAATGAAGCGGCGTCTGTTGGCATTAGGCGACCAAGACGGACTCTCTGTGGCCGCATGCATGCTGGAGATCATCGCGTGCTGTCAGCGATCCCTCGAAACGTTTCGATCTCGCATCGAACAGCTACATCAGCTTGTGGCTACAGGAAAAGCACGTTCGAACCATCGACGCTCGCTGCTCACCTGTATATTCTTCCTCCCCGTTTTCGAACACATGCAAAGGGTGAGTCTGAGCATCGTGGAGCACCAAATGGTACACTTGCGCGAAATTGCTGCTACCGCGGGCAAAGTGGCTTGTACTGCATCTGGAAAGAGGGTGCTCGACACTTGCCCTCGTGCCGTGCACGTGGAACAACTTCAGTGCAAACTCTTGCAGTGTATCACTTCGTTCGAAGGCTGCACTGGCAGCAGCGAAGCATCGCAAAAAAGTAATGAGCAGGCGGTCGAGCGAGCGCTTCGGTTCTTGAGCTCGAAGGCCTTTAGAGCAGCTTTTCCGCCATGACGAGAAAGCTGCTGGAGGACCTACCTCACTGTGCAAGACGTGATGGCAAAAGTCAAGACGTGGGATTGATATTCAATAAAGACAGGAACTAGTCTTGCGACGCATGTTCTCGGGACGACAGTTTGGGACCAAAGGTGTCGTCTGTTGCCACGATTGCGACGCTAACGCTACGAGCTACTCGCCCGTCGTCTCTCCATGGACTTGGCATTCTTGATCCGAGGTGGGATCGACCACGCAGCTTCGTGGGCAGTAAATTCTCGAGGAATGACAATGTTGTGCGAGGACTCCACCTGCTCGATGGAGTCATCCTCGTCCTCGCTCTCGGATGCATCAGCTTCTTGCAGCATATTATCGGTCGGCAGGGGCGCTGGGATGAGACCCAAAAAGTCTGAGTCCGTGCTGGCATTGCGCGAGCGACTGCGCCAGCGCTGGTTGCACGAAATCGGGACGATGGCAGCCATATCAAAGCGAGAAGTCGATGCGGATCACGTGCTTGCAGGCTGAGCTCGAGGCGGCAATTGAGAGAATGACAACCGAACACGTTCGTTCACATACACGTGCAAGAGATCTGCAGCAAGTGCGACGCGGCAGTGCATGGAAAACCGCTCCGTGGTGTAAAGCAAAGGCACACTACCGGTCATGTACTACGGACGTGCGATGGCAGAACTTCAGTGCTCTCGTGAACGCTCTACGGTCGTGACAAGACCCCCTGGTACTATGTAGCCATCTGGTGAGCAGCTGGGAAGCAGAGGAGCGAGAGATCGATCGGCCGTGCATTGCCAACGGTCTTTTCTTCTCAGAAGAGTCCAACAGTGTGGCGGGGGATGAGCGAGCGACAGTCGACCGTTCTTATCGATACGGTGCACCCGCCCATTCGGGTCGTTTCGTCGCTGCCGGTCCACGAATCCACGTCAGTCGGTATGTGATACTTTTGCAATGATGACGTGACGAGCGCGAGAGACGTTTGGGCGCATTGACGAACGCTGAGCTTTCTGCTGTTGGCTGCATGTTCACAGCTTATCGTTTCGTGTTGAAGCTTTTCGTATCGTGTCGATGGGACGAACTGCCAATTGAGGCATAAAGTTGAGTGCGACTGGTTCGTAATGCGGTTGTACACGTGAAACGGTAGACGAGAGGACTCGTATGGACCGTCCGGCGACGTTAGCAGCGCATTGCAAGCTGTACCACAGCCAGCAAGTTGCATCAAACCGTACTTGAAAACACGAGCCATATCCTCCATCTCGTTCGACGTGCGTTCACGTGCGGTGCGTCATGTGCACAACATGTCTACGAGTCGGAACGGACCTGATGGAAGCAGCCACATGTCCGATTCGCGACACTGCCTCTAGGCACTGAACCATCCTGCAGTCGAATTGTTGGTTTGGTCGACAGCATCGGACACGTTGATCGTTGGAAAGCATCGCTCACCATACCCCTGAGGAGCTTTGCTTGTACGCACATCCGGAGCAGTCGAATTCGAAACGTGGGTGCTGATCTGATGACGCCACCGGAGGCGACGGGCCAGTTCCGACGTTGATGCTGTTCAAAAGATGGCAGACATCAGAGAGCAACCGCACATGCCAATACGAAGCTGCTCGAGTAGACTGTCAATCACTCCTAGTCATCGTCTGTTGTCGGAGTTGCGATGACATGTGTGGCTCACGATTGAGATGCTTTTGCGATGTGGCTGACCCGTTCCTTGCAGGTGTACGATAGAAGTCCGGGGACTTGCTCGGTAGACGACTGTACCGTGAATTTTGATCGACAAGAATGCAAGCGAAGCCTTGCAGTGGCCGTCGCTGGGAACGAAAGGTCAGGCAGCTTCGTGCCGAATGCCAACGGGGTACATACGTCGTGCGACCAACTGGAACCGGAAGAATCCAAGTCGACGATCAGCATATCTGGTCACGGCCATTCCACAGATACTGCAACCCATGGACCGGATCTCCCAAGTGAGCGAGTCGGGAACCGAGTAAAGCTACTTAGAGTCGGTACTAATCCGGTTCTAGCAAATGTCTTGACCCTTTCACTACCATGTCTGGCGATCGCTAAACAATCCCAAGCCACAACAACAACAACAACAACAACAACAACAACAACAACAACAACAACAACTAAAGCACACCTGTTACGAACGACACGACCATAATGAGGTCGTGGACAGGAGACCCAGCGTGGCCTTTCGCGTGTGTTCGCTGCAAGTGTTGTAACGATCACGCAGCCTCGACAGAGGCATGCGAAGACGAACAGAGCCATTTTGTGTGCCAAAACACACCGCCCAATGCGTCATGGTACATACTGTACACAATGCCCAATGTTGTGCTCGCTCAGCTGTGGTGTCGGTCGGTGATCGCAGAATAGTTAGCCTGGCAAGACACTCGAGTCAAGACAAAATGACAATGTTCGAGTGGTTGTAACGTAAGCTTTGCGATCCCTACACTTTCCAGCGAACATGCCTACGCGATATCCATACGTACGTACGTACGTACGGAACGCGAGAGCCTGAAGGAACGGATAACTCGCCGATGCATACTGCTACCATCGTGTTTATTATTGAATACGCTTACAAGTGTGCGATGCTCCATTGCCACTGACGAAGACGAGGACGTATAGACGCATCCAACAACCAACACACACTCTACGCTAGCCAACGTCAGTGCAGACCCACCAACACCACATTACGACATGGACTGGGACAGCTATCGCACACGTCCGACTCCTGCGCACGGTCCACCACCTCCGACGACAGGTGGCCACTTCGCTCGATCCGGAAGGACCGACAACGCTTTTCGCTCAAATCTTGGCAATGGTCTTCTCAAAGTGCACGGGAGAGCTGAACGTGTCGAACGCTCGCATCGCCGCTTCGTTCCGGTCGTCCAACTTGTCGGCCATTCTCTTCTTCTTCACGACGAAGGCAACGCCAGCCAAAGCGACCCCACCCACAACCGCCAGGACAACGAGCGTCACAATGACTGGACTCGTCCCTGACGAGGCGTGACCGCTCTTGGTGTTTGCCTGTTGGCTCGTTCCGTCTTCCGTCGACTTTTCCACATCGGCTTCATTGGCCTGCAGAATCGCCACCTGAGTCTTCGACCCACCGGGAGCCACCACTTCTCCGGCCCTGAAGTTCCGAGCCCCCAGTCCAGGCTTCGCCCATGTGTTGAAATTGCTCGCCTCCGGCTCAGGCGCGGGCGTAGGCGGCTGCATCGCAGGTGGCTGCATCGGAGGCCGCTGCGGAGGCTGCGTTGGTGGCTGTACAGGGGGCTGTGCAGGCAATGGCTGCATCGGTGGCTGTACAGGGGGCTGTGCAGGCAATGGCTGCATCGGTGGCTGCGGAGGGAGCTGCTTTTGAGGGGGGACGCCATTGACAAAGATGTTCGGAGTAGGAGGTGCCGGCGCGTTCACGATCGGCGGAGTTGGAGGCAACGGCAATACAGCAGGACGCACCAGTCCTGGAGCCGTCGGGGAGTCCACCTGCGGAACGGGAGTCACCGGTGGCGGCTTCGGGGGCTCCGACTGAATGGCCGAGTTCTGCGACGTACTTGCGCCGAAATTGGACGTGCCGGCAGTGCACACGTTGGACGTCAGTGACAGCTTCTCCGTGATCTTCTCACCCGCCACGGACGTGAGCTCGATCTCCACCGCCGAAATGTCGACGTTTACCCCGTTGTTCAGCAGGAAGTAGTAGCACGAGTCCACCATCGTGACGGCCTGATTGGCGATCCGCATGCTCTCGATGCCATTGGCAAAGTTGGCCGGTTGGATCGCGAGCCAATGGCTACTGCTGCCGCTCTTGGTGCAGTACTGGATGTTGCCCTCGACAGGACAGTCGACGAACTCCCACTTGATCTTGTACCGAGACGGGTGGCTGCCCGTGATCTCCTTGAACACCTCCGGGGACAAGTCCAAGTCGCCGTGCACGCACTCGGGACACCGGTCGAGCAGGTACACCACCGCCGATTTGCTCTTGTCGGGGCACCGGTCGTCGTCGCACGAGACTTTGGCACAGCGGCCGCAGTTGTTGGTCGACTCCCACTGGTCGTTGTTCAGCGCCGCGTAGTTGGTCCCGACGCCGGGGTCGTACATGAAGTTGCAGTTGCCGCTCGAGACTTGGCCGAGCACGTACGACGTGCCTTCGCCGGTGAAGACCGAACCCTTCTCGCCCATTTGCCCCGCGGATGCGATGGCAGGCACCAGCGCCATCGAAAGCCACACGCGTCGAACCATTTCGAGGCGGGGGGGGAGAAACCAACTGAACGGTTCGGTGGGATATCTGAAATTCAGACTGCAACGGGATATCTGAAAGAAAAGGAAACAATCGCTCGAGCTCTGGTGGCGACTGCGCTGGAACGGGCACTTTGAGAAGTGAAAGTTTGGTAATGACCGACAGACAGAGAGAGAGTGAGTGAGAGAGCGCGCGACGATGTCTGGAGAAAGGAATGATCGCGCGTGGAGGCGAAGGGCGCGGGGACCGCTTGTCGTGGCCCGAACAAAGCGAGTCGAACACAGGACTGATCTGACTGAAACCTGGTCCTACGTGGCCCGCACGTGCCAAAGCACTTGGATTGAGTATCCGCCGCGCTTGCGACGCCAGTGCCACATGGTACAGGCTATACTTGGCTCAACCTACCGGGGTCCACCAAACCAGCAGCAGTCTCGGGGCACGGCCAACAGGATTAGAAAACGACTGTAACGATCGACTGGCTCGATACTGACTCGACGAACGCTGCAGCAGCAGACGCCGCGCTACTTTCGGAGCGCCTGTTGCTGCTTGTGTCGTTCTCAATCAAGTAGCCTCGACACCCCGTGCCCTCTGCCCGCGACGCCTATTCAGCCAATCGTTACTCACAATCGCCGCCCGCAAGTCACCGGTGCGCCAATGGCTCGGCCCTTGCCGTGCCATTTGTTCGCCCGGAAGTAGCGCGTCTACCTAACCAGCCACAGCCTTGAGATATTCCAGCACGCACTGCTGGCGATTGCGTTCGAAAATCCATTGGCTCGGACGTCAAGCCGCGGGAACCGGCGACCAACTGCGTGGCGCTCGGCCATGCGAATCTGTGTTTCAACTCGCAGCGTCTGTCTGGACAAAGCGGCCACGACGTGGACAGTGCGATCGCCAGTCCACTGCACGCAGAAGAGCCCCTGGCCGCGGCTTCCACTCGCTCGAGAGTGTCGTCGGCGGACGCAAACGCGGCGACGACGACGGCGCACGAGCCACGCGCAGGTACGAACGAACGAACGACTGTCTGTGGTCCATGAGAAGGACTCGACGCGTTCGTCACGTCCATTGACTGGGGGGATAGTGCACCGCACTGCACTGCACTGTCAACGTGCGCGCAGGAGAGACATTCCGCAGTACGAGTAGGAGGACCGTAGTAACAGTAGTAACAGTAGCAAGAGGAGGAGGAGGAGGAAGTAGGGGCTGTGCGTTCGATACAGTGTGGAAGAGCTGCCGACCGTTCGCCTCACGTGCCGCGAACAACAGAGCACCGGACGAGCGCACGAGCTGCCCCGAAATGAGAATTACTCACTCGCGACGGCCCACGACGTCTGTGTCAAAGCACTTGCGCTCCGAATGCCCCTGCAGAAAGGCCCGCCGGCGAGACAGGTGACTGCTTGGCTCGAGGCCGTGGCCCGTCTCGTCGTTAGCTACGCCACAAGGGCCGTCGAGTTCGTTGTTGTTGTTGTCGTTGTCGTTGTCGTTGTTGTTGTTGTTGTTGTTGTTGTTGTTGTTGTTGTTGTTGTTAGTGAGCTCGTTGCTGGACGGGTGCCCCGTTTAGGTCGTCACGCCTGTCAAAGAGTGGACCTGCGACAATGTGTGTGTGCCCTTTTGCATTGCAGTCAGGCGGTGACGTGCAACGTCGGAACATGGCGTCTGTGGCGCAAGGGATCCCCTGGCGGCTCACGACCGTACGGCAGCGCTAGACAGACGCGCACTGCCAGCGCGAGGCGGATCGACGGGCGACGCGTGCGAGTGTGCCATCTGCTCTGGAGGCGCCGCTCGCTGCGCCAGTGGAACGAGACCGAACGCGATGGAAAAAACGCCGTCCGACGCGCTCGTTTTTTCGGCATGAAGAACGCGGAACACCTGCAGCTGCGTCAGAGCGCTGTCGACGTTCGACCTTCGTGTCACGTTGGTGGGCAACAGTGTCGCGCACTTACTTGAAGCGTTTCTTCGTTGCTGATCCCTATAGATGGACCTGTTCGGTTGCTCGATCTGCACCACCCGAAAGGGGTATGGGGGGACGGTCTTATCGCGTCCGTGATGTGCCTACGACCGCTATGACAGCTCTGTCGGTGCGGAGGCTGCCGAGAGTACCACACGTTCGTCTCGAGGCAGCAGCTCGTTCAGCTCAAGCCCTCGCATTTGGTAAAAGCTTTTGAACACGATCGTGAACAGACCGCGTCTCGGACAGCACTGATGCTGCCGCGCTGCTTTTGATTTGTCCGTCGGCCACCTGGTGGTGGGACGCGCCTGCTCGATCCATTGCGAGCGACAGGTGCAGCTGTCAAGGGCTTCCTGCTGGCTGATAACGGGGATCATGGCCCCTGCACAAACAGTGGAGAAGGGGTCTGCCATGGAGTACGGATCGCCGCTCGAAGGTCTGGGCGACGACGAGGAACACGTCCGAACAACAACCTGCTGGCAATGTGCGTGTGAGTGCGTGATCCTGTCTCGTGGCAGTATGCCACCCACGCTCAGGTTGCGCCGTCGACATCTTATGCTAAAGGCGCTCTGCATGTCTGTCTGTCCCGTGCCGTATCGATACGGTATCCTAACCGATCGGGCTACGGGTGTTCAACCCCTTGCGGAGATTGTGCATGTAAGTGTAAGTGTGTTGCTGTTACTGGTACCAACCAGTCTCTCCCTCCCGACCTGGTTCGACGCACGTGCAAAGCAGCATCTGGTCTCGTCGACCTTTTTAATTGACACCACGTGGTCGCGTGCACCTACACTGCCACGGGCACGGGGATCCAGTCTGCATCCGCGTGCGGTTGCTCTCTGCCGGCACGACGGCCCTTGTCGAAGCACCTTTGCGACCACGTGACAAACCGAGCAAGTGAGCCCATGATGGACCGTCCGAGCGCGCGCGCGAGAGAAAGAAGGCCAGGAATCGTCGGTGCATCGACTTTGCAGACAGTCCCACACACCACAGCCTCGTTCACGCACGACAACGTCGAGCGAACGTCTCAAGGGATCACCGAAACCGAATCCGCGGGGCATATCCGTTGGGCGGGCGATCCACTGCACATGTCGCACGCGCGTCTGCTGCCGTCGCAGCGCCGCAATGCGTGCAACGTTCGCACAGACGTATCCATGTTTCCTCTCGCGCCGCGTTGGCGTTCCTTGAGCCGGCAATGCCGTCGAGAACAACGAGAACAACAGAGACGACGATGCTCTCTCTTGTTGGGATCGACGACCCACCCACCCACCCAAGTGACGTGATGCAAGTAGCAGGGCAGCAGCTGGCGAGCCACCGCTTCAAATCATGCCGTCGCCGGGCGAGCTCCCGGATGGGACCGATCGACTGACGTATGGCGCATGGCCTGGACCCCGCCCCTTTTTACCTGGCAAGTAGCGAGACGCCCCTTTGCCCGGGACTTGATCCGAGCGAGTAGCAGCAGTACAAACACATTAGGACGTCGTCATTGCTTCTTTTGCGGGCATCAACCGGGTAACGCCCACCTCGTTGACGCCGACGATCGCGTCGTCTCGGACGTTGTTTTCCTTCCTCACTCATGGACTCGTCCGTGAGCAAACGCCACTCGAGTCCGTTTCCACCGTTGCACTTGTCGTCGACCACTGCCGTGGAACTCGCGTCCCTCGCGCAGAAACTCGTCGTGCGTAACATTAGCGCGTACGAGAGTTTCCTCGTCGAGCGCCACAACAAAGTGGACGCGTTGCTGTGGCGTCTCGTGTCGTCGAAAGACGAACTGCGCGCGTACGTCGACCGACCGCGGGCGGCCGAGTCCCCGCAGTCGTACAAAGCCGACACGCCGGTGGCCGACCTGCCCGTGGTCATGATCACGGGCACTATCGTCGGCAGCCTCGACGACGTCATGTACGGCGTCGCTTGTCCGACACCCGATCAAATGCGCATCCAGGCGTCGTACGTCTACGATGACGTTCCGCGGAGCTGTGTGCTCTCGGCGCTCGTCCCGCCTACACCAGAGACGCCTTTCAACTCGATCGGCATCAAGTGGATGGAAGTCCACGTCCCTTTGGCGGTCCGCCCAGTGGTAAAGCACCGCGACTTTGTGTACATGGAGACGACGGGGATCGACCGCCTGCGGAACGGCGAACGCGTGGGGTACCACATTGTCCACTCGATTCAGTTCCCCGGGACGCCGCCGCTCGACACGCACATTCGGGGCAACACCTCTATCAGTATGTTGTACCGCCAGCGCACGAAAAACGTCACGGACGTCTACATCAAGGGATACTTCAATCTAGCTGGAGGTATCATGCGGACGCTGTTGATCCGCTCGGCTACGCGCGTTCTGCTCACAGTGGCCAACAGCGTGCACTGCAGCCACAAGAAGAAGCTCACGTGGGCGTTGCGGGGCCACTATAAGGACGAGTCGTTGTCGTCGAGCTCGGGGAGCACGGACGGGTCTTCAAGTGTACCACTGGACGACAGATGCTGCGGAGGGTGTGGCAAGAAGCAGTCGGTGTTTGTGCAAGCAGCGAGTCGAACCGACCGAGGGGCGAAGATGGTGCAGCTGAAGAGGCACTGCAAACTCTGCAGGCGCTACATGTGCGTGGACTGCCGGAGACAGCACCACTTGTCCTTCTTGTTGCACGACGAGCGACTCGTGCAGCGACTCGTGACCATCTGTCGAGCGTGTGAGACGGAGGCCCTGTCGGAAAACGCAGCCGGCGTGGCACGTGATGAGTTGCGACTGAACGAGTTCAGGCGGCGATGGGACAGCACCGACGTCTTGAACAGAACGGCTATGTCCACGCAGAGTGTACGGAGCGAGTAGGTAGGAGGCAGGTAGGCAGTGATCTCTGATGGATTGGCAGAATAATATAACGTAACAGGACGACGACAGTGCCTACAAAGTCGCGCTCACGTCTGCTGTGCAATATGGTCTCTCGTACATCGTAGTCATTGAGCTGCTGCGCAATGGCAGTCGTCTTGACTACAAGGGCCGTACGCATGATCATCGTCATGCAATAGTTGTTGGAGTCGACAAAAGTTTGGCAAAATGTGCCAGCAGAGCGTTCAATTGGCATTGTAACTGAGTGCGGTGTGTTGGTGTTTACGGACCGGGCGAAAACAGCTGGCCACGCCTGCATCTCATTGGCCACTTGCGCGTCAGCGTAAACACGTGATGGGTTCACGCTCGGCCATTGTCGCACGGATGTCGCCTGAGTGGGTCCCTTCACGATCCGATCCGTTGACTTTATTTGACGTCCACAGGTCCACTTCTACTTCGATCGGTTCCATTTGACTACTACGACTACTACTACAACTACTGCTGCTACAGACAGCAGGTAATACTTCCAGCCCGACCGTAACTCGTGATCTATTCGTTTGCCACAGGGTATGAACTTGAAGAGGTGGCAGGACCCGCCACGTTCCGTCCGCGTCAACAGCCAATGTATCACTTCTGACAGGAATGTATTGTCTCCCCAATACGTATAGCACTGTCACGAATACAAACATGCAAAGCTACAGGTAGCACTGTGGCAACTCCTACTTCTCCCCCTACTGCGTAGCCGCGTAACGTGGCACTGACGCGCCGGTCATGAACTGCCATCCGTTCCGTTGCACGAGCACTCGGCCACCGTGAGCACAAACTCCATCGACGCGAGACCCGATGTGTACAAAGAGCAGAGACTCTCGTGCTGCTTGCCGCAGTTGCGGCCCTTCTGGAAGCCCCAGAAGCTCTGCAGGTGGCACATGTCGCTGCACTTGGCTTTGCGTTCCTCCGGCTTCGAGTCCCACGGCGTCGACTTCATGTGGGCCATGCGGTAGAACAGGTCCTGCTTCTTCGTGAGCGCCTCCTGGTTCACCGCGCGCTCGTGCACGTCGTGGCTCTTGTCGGCGTCTTCGTGGTGAAGTCGGTGGTGATGGCGGACAACTTTCAGGTGCGCGGCTTCATCTGCAACGGCCGACGTCGCGAGCATTGCGGCGAGAATGGACGCCCAGAGCTGCATCTTGGGATCGGGGGAAGAAGGTTTAGTTTCGAAGTGAGGGGAAGTGGAGCGCACGAGACGCGAAAAGACGGACCCGTCGTCGAGCATGAACTGCGGTACGACATGATACGCGGACGCGGCAGGGTCGTTGGTGTGCTGGTTTGAGAAACGCGCGATGGCATAAACCTGACTTGTCGACTGGGACGAGGGAAGGGGTGGCGAGTGGGTGTCACCCCCACATGTATCAGGCTACGGCTTCGACTGATGTGAGGGACGGGTAGGAAGGTGAAGATCGGAGATGGTGCGGTCAGCTCTTGCGTAGGTTGACACGTTTGCATGGGTAAGTACGCACACGTGGGACGCTATAGTTGATGCGACGTATCATGTAGGAGGTCGCTCGCACTCTTTATTCGTTATGATACCGGATCGTCTAAGTTGGTAAGTCAATCAATCTCTCGCACTCCCAGTTGATAACGCACGACTGCGCTCTATTCGAACACGTCATCACGTCGAAGCAGACTCCAACTTCCTTGTTATGGCTTATCCCATCACCCCGAAATACAGCCGTAGCGTTCATCGCGACACAGTGTCAGCCAAGAGCTTAACGACGACGAGAAAGTCCGCCCGACTACACGTTTGCAGCGCGATCGAGTTTACACGAGCCTCAACCACAGTCAACAGCTCTCGTCAACCCATGTGCTTTTCCGTTGGCTGATCTTTTCTCTCGACCGCACACAAACCAGAAGCAGGTGACGAGCCGAACATGCGACTCGATCGATCTTCCAAGCACACGTGTTCCCTTCGTCTGCGTCAAACACAGCGACTCAGTCGACGCAGTCGCCTTCTGAACACGCAACTTCGGCCATGTCTTATCCGATAAGTCTCTCTCTCTTTCTCTCTTTCTCTGTCCGCTTGTCCGGCACTGCAGTCGGTGCTCAACTACCGGTCGCCATGAGTCCGTCTTGTCCCGTGTGTCGTCACGTGGCGAGTTGCGTCGCGCTCGCCATGCAAAGCGAACACGTTTGCTCTCCTGACGACGTTTCATAAAGAGCCGGACGACGGACGGACTGTAGGACCGGTCGGGTGATGACTCGTCTACCGGCAATTGACTGACAACCGGTCGTTCAGCACGTCATGCGACTCGACGGTCTCCGATAACTCGAACTCGATGGGTCTCTCAGTCATTCCTCGACTCGCGTCGTCCATCGGACGTCCGTCGTCGCGTTCGCTCATGAGCGTCTTCCCACAACGAATGTCAGCCTCTCGCGACAGCGGACTATCGCTCGGGATCTCTGCGAACACCAGTAAAGATATGAGCTCGAAAGTGCATCCCGTACCGCAGGAGCCACCGCTTCCGGACGGCTTGACCATCCTCGACAGTCACGGAGACACGCGTGTGGTCTTCACCGAGCAGCAGATGACTGCCGACTTGCTCGCGGCGGTGCCCAAGCTGCACGCCGCCACGTCGAGAGACGCGCGACGGAGCCCCAAGTGGTGCCGCAAGAGCCGCAAAGACGGCGTCACGACGTACGGAGCGGCGCCGAGCGCGAAGGGGTCGGACGATCCGGATCTCGCGTACGCATCGCTGGCCAAGACGAAGATCAAGTGCCACTTGAACGAGGTGCTCAATGTCCTCGTGAGCCACGAGTCCAGTACGTACCAGAGCACAATGGCTGCGCTGTGCGGCGACAAGTTCCAGGGCGGCCATGTGGCGTACCATCAACGCAGTCGGTTCTCCGCGGACGTCCATCGCGTGCTTCAAGCACCGCCAAGTGACACGTCGCTGAAGAGGCCAAAGGCGCCGCACGATGTGCTCCTGAGCGTCAATATGACAACGCTCCAGCCGTCGCTGCCCATGCGGTTCCAGTCCAAGAAGCACCGACAGCCGCAGCGGCTGTGCTTCTCGTCGCTCACGCACCAGTACGCGAGCAACGAGCGAGCTGTGCACGTGATCAAGACGCTGCCCAAGCACGTGCACGACGAGCTCGTGCCTCCTTCGCAGCGCACTGCCCTGCGGGACCACTTGTGTAAGGCTCGATGCAACGGATCACGACGGACGATATCTGTTTACGTAAACGATGTCATCATCATAAAAATCAGGCAAAGAAATCAGTCAGAAATCAGCAGGCTTAGAGTAGCACATAGTGGTGAACTAAGGACCTAATGAACTTACTTTTTGATTTACTAACTTGGACACTACATCTGGTAGCACTTGTTGGTCCAGCGAACTATCCTCTGACCCCGACCTGAACTCCCCTGATTTTACTCCGACCTCGCCTGACTAAATCTTAACCTCGCGACCCGACTCCGAACAACGAACTCCGTGCCTGAACTTGCTCCTGACACAGACTGATTAAGTGACCCAAGTGCACCGAGCGCAAAGCCATGGGCGAGCCTTCAAACGCGGAGCTCATGCAAAGCATGCTTGCCATGATAGCGCAGCAGCAAGATATGATGCGTAAAATGGCCGAAGCGACGACGCTCAAGGATCTTCGACTTGACGCAGTGAAGGCGCCTCGCTACAGTGGCCAAATGCAAGAGTCCTTTGCATTATTCAAAGAACAGGTTCAACAGTATTTTGAAGTGAGACGAGTGGAGTGGAAGAGTGCGACAATGGCCGCCACGATTATACCGACTATCGGGAGCATGCTTACAGGCACAGCTGCCGATTGGTATGTCTGGTCACGCAGCAGAATAAACACTGTCGATGAATTATTTTTCCACATTGAGCAAGAATTTGTACCCGCAGACTTGCAGATCCGGCTTCGGGACCAACTGCGGAATCTCAATCAAGCGCAGTGTCGAGATCTTGGCGACTTTGTAAATCGCTTTCGACAACTGATGATTCAAGTGCGTAACATGAGTGATGTCGACTCCGTCTTTTACTTCACGCAAGGCCTGAAGCATCAGACCCGTGCTGAAGTGGAGTATCGCCGTTGTTCGTCTCTAAGTCAGGCAATTAACGTTGCTTACGACTTTGAGCGTTCACATTTTGGCGTGGGGAGTTCAAGGCGTACTCAACAATTTCGTCGACCAGAAAGACCTACTCATCAGCGCTTTGACGATCCTCAACCGGAGCCGATGGAGATTGACAACGTGCAAGTAGTGTCACGAGAAGAGTGTTTCCAACGCAATCTGTGCTTCTATTGTAAGAAGCCAGGGCATCGACTCGCGGAGTGCCCGACAAGACCACGAACCCGATCAGTTTCGAGACCGCGCGCGCGCGTGAGTATGATCGAAGATGTTCAAGATACAGCGGAATCTTCTGACGAAGCCATTGTTTTTGATCAATTTACGGTCAACACCTTACAAAATAATGGGGTCAATTATCGGCCTCATTTGTTGCGAAAGACTGGATCCATTGATGGTGTACCAGTACTGATCTTGCTGGACTGTGGAGCATCAACAAATGTAATTCGACCCGGTCTGGCTACTAAGGTTCTCCGCTCGCAGCGCGGCCAATTAAAGCGGTTTGATGGATCGCTTACACCACCGGCTGATCTAGCGACGGTGGAAGCGACAGTACGCACTAATGAAGGCGAGTTTTCAAACATGATCTTCACGGAAACCCATCTGGATGCCGAGCAGGATGTGATTTTTGGTCTTCCGTGGTTTCAAGAATATGCACCGCAAATTAATTGGACATCGGGTCAACTGCTTCTTCCAAATCAGCCTCACATCAGTGATATGGATAGCACAGAGCGGACCGAGCTGACCCCAGACAGCACGATTTCCAGATCAGGTGGTCAACTGCACAGATCATACGTGCGCAGGTCCGACTACGCAGAGCTATTTGTCGTCAAGATCGCTTCTAATTTGGTGGACGACAATGTTCCGGATTGGCTTTGTGACCTTATACAGGAATATACCGACATATTCCCAGCGAAGCTACCCGACGGACTACCACCGCCACGTGCGGTGCAGTTTGACGTAGAAATGAAACCAGATGCGATTCCAAGTTCCAGAGCGCCGTTTCGTCTATCAAAGACCGAGCAAGAAGCACTGAATTCCTTCGTTGCCGACAACCTAAAGAAAGGCTGGGTCGAAGTGTCAAATTCTCCATGGGTTTCCAACATATTCGGTATTCCTAAAAAAGACCATGTTACGGGCCAAGCTCCAACACGCGGTGAGTGGCTGCGATCGGGAAACAGCTTACAGCCGATTCGCTGGGTCATTGATTATCGTTACGTGAATAGCCAGACCAAAATCCCTAAAATACCTCTCCCTCACATCGAGGAACTATTTGACAGGATGGCAGGGTGCGCCGTGTTCACGGTTATTGACTTAGCACAAGGCTACCACCAGATGCTGGTTAACACTTCCAGTCGCCAGTACACAGCATTTCGGACGCACAAGGAGACATACCAGTGGTGTGTCGCGCCGATGGGATTGGCAGGGATGCCCGGTGTATGGTCACGCCTTATGCGCGAATTGTTTGATAAGTTTGACTTCGCTGTGGTCTATCTGGATGACATATGCATCTTCTCCAAGACAAATGCCGATCACAAAATTCATCTACGCCAGGTATTTCAAGTGCTGCGACGTGAACAACTGTATGCTCACCGCGGCAAGTGCTCTTTTGGAAGGGACAGTGTGCAGTTCTTAGGTCACACGGTTTCACGAGATGGGTTGAGTGTGGATCAGCGTAAGACATCTGCAATCGCCACCATGGCCCATCCAACCTCGCGAAAGGAGCTGCTAAGCTTTTTAGGTCTCGCTGGTTATTATCGGCGTTTTATTTGTGACTTTGCCAAGATGGCACTTCCATTGAGCAAGCTGGTCAAGAAGGACGTACCTTGGGCGTGGTCAGAAGATCAAGATGAAGCTTTTCAATCATTAAAAGTCGCGCTACAACAAGCTCCCGTGCTTCAGCTACCGGACTTTTCTATTCCTTTCATCGTTACTACGGATGCATCAGGATTATGCATGGGTGGCGTTTTGTCACAGCTTACTGGTGGCGAGGACCATCCTATCGCGTTTTTTTCGAAAAAGTTTGGTATTCACGAACAAGGGTGGCCGGCACACGAACAGGAATTACTCGCGATCAAGACAGCACTCGCGAAATGGCGCCATTATTTACACGGTCGGTCATTTGATGTCTATACGGACAACAATGCGTGCCGTTGGATGTTACACCACCCAAACGTCACGCCTAAAATGGCGCGTATGCTGACTTTTTCTCTCAGTTTAATTTCACGCTACATCACGTCAAAGGTACTTCCAATATGGTCGCCGATGCATTGTCGCGTCCGAGCGTCACCCGTCCTGCTTTGACGAGAAGCGAAAGTATCGTCCCTCACGTTCATGACTGTGGTTCATTGTGCGCTCATCGCGACGCCCACCTTCGACGTCATCGTATTCATCTGGCGGTCCTCTGTATGCTGCCGAGCCTGGATAAAGACCTTCTTCTCGATGTGCAGGACTTTGAGGGGGTGGAACGAGTGCACCAGGTTGGTGTGCCTCAGAAACATCAGCGAAAGATTCACGAAGAAGTCCGACACATCGAGTTCATAATTTCAAGTATACATCTTTCGTCGGCATCGAAGAAGGCATTTATTCAAGGATACAACAAGGACCACGAGTTCACAGAGGCGCTGAGCACAAATCACGACAAGTATGTTTTGGACGATGGATTGTTGTATCTGAGGACGAATCACGCAGTCAAACGGCTGTGCGTCCCGGCAGATGATCGACTTATTACCTCCATTATTCGTGAACATCACGATGGAAACACCGCCGCACATCCTGGAGTGCGTCGCACGCAGCTTAAGGTGGCGCAATGGTACTTCTGGCCCCGCTTGGAAATGGATGTACGAGAATATGTACAAAGCTGCGGTACATGCACAAGATGGAAGACGAGCACTTTGAAAAAAAATGGTAAACTTATGCCGATTCCAGTTCCAGAAGAGTGCTGGGAAGTGGTTTCGATGGATTTCGTAACGGGCCTACCGGTGTCGAGGGGATTTGATGCTATAATGACAGTGGTCGACAAACTATCGAAGCGACCCCGATATGCACCTACGCACACGAACACGGATGCGCCGAAAGTTGCAAACCTTTTTTTGATGTCGTGGTGCGTCATCACGGACTTCCAAAGGTCATTATCAGTGATCGTGATCCAAAGTTCACGTCGAACTTTTGGAAGTCGCTAATGACCATTATGGGAACCAAGTTGTCAATGACGACAGCTCACCGTGCGCAAGCTGACGGCCAGACGGAGCGACAGAATTTAATTTTGGAAGACGCGCTGCGATGCATGGTTTCGTACCATGGCGACGACTGGTCGACACATCTTGGTACCATAGAGTTCGCTCATGCAACTCTAGTGAGCAAATCAACACAGCTTTCACCTTTTGAGATAGACACAGGGCGGCAGGTTAGCAATGCTATTGCTGGAAGTTTCAGTGTCACAGGAAAGCAGTTACCTGTAGCCGAGTACGCGAAAAAATTTGCAGACAGGAGACAAAAGATCATCAAGCTTGCGCAAACAAACTTGGCCAAGGCTCAAGAAAAACAAAAAAACTACTACGACAAGAAGCGCAGCAACGTGACATTTACAACTGGAGACATGGTCATGCTTGACGCAAAACACCTCAAGCTACGTCACCACAATATGGGTACTGGAACCAGCAAAACAAAGCTGTTGGCGAAGAAGATCGGACCATTCAAGATTGAAACCATGATCAATAGTAACGTGGCCAGACTTGTACTGCCTAGAAGCCTCCGCAAGCTGCATCCAAGTTTTAACATTGACTTGTTAAGTCATTTCGTCCCGAACCCGACGAGATTTAGCGGTCGCCCGATCCCGAAAGCAGTGCCGGTGATACTGGATGAAGAAACCGGCAGTGAGCTGTACATCGTAGAAGCGCTGGTCAAGAAACGGGTCTACAACAAAAAGAACGAGTGGCTTGTTAGGTGGCACGGACTTCCTGTTCACGAGTGTACCTGGGAAAAAGAACAGAACATTCGGCATGTGGCGCATTGGCAAGACCTGGTGCAAGATTTTAAAATACGCCAACGCGAGATGCTCTCGGGGAGGATGTAAGGCTCGATGCAACGGATCACGACGGACGATATCTGTTTACGTAAACGATGTCATCATCATAAAAATCAGGCAAAGAAATCAGTCAGAAATCAG